TGAATCTAGCTTATAGAAATTATTTTTCAAAATTTAGCGCTCAACTTACTGTTTCCTTCTTTCTAAATTTCATAATTTATTTAGTCCATGGGTGCCTCAATTATTTTGTTCGGTGTACCTTTTGGTTCTGTAAAGTTTGGTCATGATTCTTTGGTTCAATTAGAATTCCATGCTACCATATGGCTGAGCAAAGTTTTTAAGGTAATATAGTTTTAAAATGTAATTGTAAAGCAATAGCTCAAAATTTTAAACCATTTTAATATAAATATTTTAGCAATAGTGTCAATGAATGTTTTTAACAATATATTTTTTACGGATCGTACGGTTATGACTAATAATTCAAATGGATTTTGTTCTAAACTTGGAAAATTTTTTGATTTAAATCTCAATTTTGTAAGTTATATGCTAGATTATTACTTGTTGTTACCAATATACATTCCATTGTAGTTTCTCCTGAGGCAGGAATAATTTGTTCCGAAAGCTCGAGTAATAAAAAAGAGTACACTTCAAATTTGGCTTTGACTGCAGACCCGACTATATTTTAAAATTTTGTTATATATATATAAGGCAAATTTACCCCTAACGAGGCCAATAAAGTGTGTTACTTATCCAACAACGCATTAGCATTTCTTTTCGGTGAAATTCGTTATGAAATGGGTGGAGAACAAGTAGCCATCATTCGAAAACCCGGTATAACAACAACAATGAAAATAATGGTTTCATGGGGCCAAACGCAATTAAAAACGCTATTATCTTATGGAAATTACCTCTAAAATATCTTATGGGTTTTGCCGAAAATTATACCAGGGGCATTTTCAACGTCAAGCAAGAGCTTATACTGATAATTGCTCNACGACTTATGTTGGTAGGCCCTAACCACCATTCAGTGCAGGAATGAGGGAAACCTGGAAAACCTCATTAATTAGGGGGGTGGTCAAATGCCAACCGGTGTCAATCTCTCACATTGACCCAAGCCAACATTCTTCCACCCTACCATACCTGCACAGAGGGTGCCAATCCTCCGTACAAGCATAGCTAATCTACGGTCTACCGGCCGCGGGATTCGAAACCCGGGCAGATCGACACATCGATTTAAGTACTGACGCCTTAAACCGTGCGGCTATCGACCGATTTAGAAACAATTTTTTCCTGTAATCACAATTAAATAATAAAAATATAATTTTGTCAATACATACTAAAAAACCATTTTCCGTAAAAAATTTTTTTAAAAACTATGCATCGGTCATCTTACAATGGAGAAATTTTCACAATATAATATTGTGTTTTTTCATTTTAAATTTGAAAAAGGTTTGTATTTTTAAATGTTGTAAGCGTGTCAGGAAAATATTTTTAATCGGCAATGTGGCACGTGGATACGTTGAAAATCAAATGAGCTATATAATTATAAAATCAAAACAGGTAGTACGTCTGGCGGTGAATTTTTGTAAATTAAAATGTTCTCTCTGTTTTTTCTCCTCCTTTTTCAAATTTAAAATGAAAAAACACAACAATATCATATTGTTAAAATTTGTCCATTGTAAGATGACTGACTAAAAAATTTTTTAGAACAAATACATTGAGGGTAAAGTTTTCGAGACAAAACGTCTGAACCTGATTCGGGCTGAGGCGGTACAGTATTGGGGGTTATGAAGTCTTGCAAAAAATGTAATAAAATTTCTAGAATCGTATTTAAAAAAATGAAAATGATGATCCTGGAGAGAAGAAACGTTACATATAAAAATTGATTATGCCATTCGATATAGGGGAAAAAGTGGCCACGAGAAAGTGTTCTTCATTTTTCAATATCACCTCAAACAAGGCTAATATGAAACAAAAACGGATTTCCAAAATTTCGGTCTTTTTCAAATATTTCGAAAACTAATCATGTTAACCTTGATTTTTTAGAGGCATGTCTTATTATGCAACTTTGCCCCCATTTAAACTACTTCGTATATCTTACCGTTTCCAAGATCTCTGTAGTGAGAAGCGAATTTGTAACAGCCTGTATACTGTCATTCCTATAAATCTAGTAATTAAAATAATCACAAAAAAATGGAATTTGTTACAAAATCATACTACTTTGAATTAATTTTTAACTGGTACTAAACTTACACTAACTACTAATTTTTTTCAATATAAAAATTATTTTTACCAGCAAATAGAAAATTGTGCAATGGAACCAATTTTATTAACAATAATACACATAATCTAAATTTTGATATATTATTTTTCAAGATATGTTGGTGATTGCATTATCACTTCCCGAAAATTAAATTAATAATATTTTAAATAGTTTTCATCCAAAATTACAATTATAAATAAATTTTCTCGATTTAACTTTAATTCGTAAAAATAATCAAATTTTAACTAAAATTATTAAACAGAATCTTTAATTTAAAATATAAATATAAAAAAGAAATTCTAATCATAACTCTGTCAATAGCTTTTAATATATTGCGTTACCATATGCACTATCTTTATCTAAGTACAAAATATTAACACAATTAACTACGGAATTTTTAGAAGAAGTAATTAATAAATTTTGCTATATTACTTTTGAAAAGATATGCAATCATTATCGCACTCCCGAAAATGAAATTAATAATATTTTAAATGAGTAACAATTTTCATCCAAAATTACAATTTACCATCGAAAGTGAAACTAGAAACAAAATTAATTTTCTTGATTTAACTATAATTCGTAAATATAATCAAATATTAACTAAAATTATTAACTTTAATTTAAAATATAAAATATAAATATAATATAAATATAAAATAAAAAATTAAAAACCAATAAATTCCTATAATAACTGTCAACTTTGCAATATATTGCGTTACCATATGCACAATCTTATCTGAAAAAATTAAATCTATTTTATCTAAGTATAACATTTTAGTTGCTCATAAATCTTTCAATCAATTAAATAAATTCATACCTTTAATAACTAAAACCCTATACTAAAACAATCTCATGTAGTATATTCTATTCCATGCAATGATTGCAATGGTCATTACGACATCACAAAATTTAGAAAATAGTTTAAAGGGTCATAGATACACTAAAAATTGTGCAACAGCTGTTAATAAACATGTCAAAGGAAAAAAATATACTTAGTTTTAATTTCGATGAAACCAAAATTCTTGTCAAGGAACCAAATTAACAAAAGATTAATCAAAGAAATTATTTATATAAAAACAGTGTTAACGACAAAACTGACATTAAAAATGTTTTTAATTTACAAAATTTTGCCACCAGGCATACCTACTACCTGTTTCGAATTTATCATAATTATACTGCTCATTTAATTTTCAATGTTTCCACGTAACATTGCCGATTAAAAGTAATATCCGAACACACTACAACACCAAAAAATGCAAGCCTTTTTCAAATTTAAAATGAAAATGAATAATAATAATAATTAATTAATATTGTGTGAAAATATGTTCACCATGGTTAACTTAATGCATATGTTTAAAATTTATACGTAAAATGGTTGTTTTTGGATATGTATTAACAAATATATATTTTTATTAAATTAATTGTAATTACAGTATAAAAATTTTTGTAAATACTAAGTAGATTCTTGTATTTTAGGTTTTTAATTAATTGACTGTAGGTATAAAATTTTAACAACAAAAACCTTTTGAAAGAGTTCCTGATCAGAAACGAAACATCAAGAAAGAAATCGCAGCTGTTTCTTTTATTCTTTTTTTTAATCGACTATTACACCAGAACCCAATACCCAAGAAAATAAATATATTTTAATATACAGGGTGTTACAAATTTGTAGATCAAGCAGTTAACCACATATTCTGTGGACTAAAATAATGGGACTTTACTTATGCCACTTTTCATTTCGGAGACCCATTTTCAAAATATAGGGTGTCAAAATTAAAATTTAAAAAATGATTGTTATTGATTGTAGAGATATTTATTTGAAATTTAGCATATATTTTGATCTTAGCACATACTTTGATCTTAAGTTGGCACACTTTTGTGTAATTTTGGTTTAAAATATCAAACTGCGAACGGAGGAGAGGGAGGTTGCAATACCCATGGACCCCCTATTTTTTTTAAATATTGTTTTTAAATGAAGCGGAGTTTTATTCTATTTTTTCCACTCTTGTAAGATTTTGATTTGGGGCTTGGCTCGCGAAATATTGTAACTTTTTTAGATACGCGACATCGAAACATTTTCACTCATTACGGACAGTGGCGGATTAAAGGTCCAGAGCGCCCTAGGCAATCACTTTATCGGCGCCCCTGTACCGGCCATAAATGGCCATCATAATACTATAAATTTTAACTAGTTGTTTTTGCAATTACGATGACGGTGTAGATTGTGTAAAAGCTTAAATAATTTATTATTATTAATAAATTAAAAAAATAAGTTTTGAATTATTTATTGAAAAAATTATAAGTAGTAAGAGAATAACAAACTCAATTTAAAAAATTTAAAATTTCTGCGTCTACATTTTTGTTTCGCGAAATTGTCAATAACATCGTCGTAGTTTAAAGACAGCAATAAGGTAGGTTCAATGTTTAGTATTGCTAACGAATTTAATCTCTTATCTGTCATGGTTGAGCGAAGATAGTTTTTCACTCTCTTTAGGCAGGAAAAACTCCGCTCCCCACTGCAATTACTGAATGCCGTCGATACCCACATTCTTAAGGCTATGTCAATGTTGGGGTAAATTGTTTCAAGCTCTTTATTTCTCAGAAGCTGTAATACCGCGTTCGTTGTTCGGGGCAGTTCTCCGTCTCGAGCTATCGTTGTTAAATAAGAACGTAGATGGATACATTCGTCAACAAAGCATTTTTCTAAATCATTAAAATACATTGTTACCAACGTACTTGCTCTATTTTGAACTTCTTCGGTGTTTAAATTTGTCAAATTGCATAAAAATGAAAATTTATTGCAAAAATTATTGTACGCTTTTCGTCTCTTTTCAAGTTCAACGACAATTCGGTCTATAATTCCTAGATATACTGTTACTCGGAATGTTTCCCGACCCGATAATGAAGAAGTTATATCTTCAGCAGATTCATCTGCTGTGAGCTTTCTCTTCCGTATCCTCTTTGTGTCCTTTTCATATTCTTTTACTAATGACAGTTCCAAGGCTTGCTGTTCATATTTATCAAAATTTCCCCTTTCTGTAGAAATTATGTGAATTATACTGTCATACAATTGAACAACAGTACAAATATCAATATCAACGGATTGCAATTTTTTGTTGCTTTTGTTCATGTGAACCAAAATAAAACTCCAAAACACGGTCATGAAGGCAGTTTCTAGCCGTTCTAATTTGAACCTTATACCTTTAGCTTCACATACAGTAGAACGTTTTTGCGCAGGATTGCTTTCGATAGCAATCAAAGCATCGTGAATTTCTGAAAATGACTCTTTTAAGCTTTTACAAGCATCTGCTCGAGCTGACCAGCGTGTGTCAGATGGATTTTTGACAGTAGGTTTATTTTTCTTATCATTACCTAGACGTATTTGTGGTTGTAGAGTTTCCCATCTTTGAGTTGAAGCTGTAAAAAATGTGTAAATTTCTTGAAGGAGACCAAAGAACCAACAAGCTTCTTGAACGCATTCAGCGGCACATTCACCCACTAGGTTCAGTGAATGTGCGGAGCAGGGTATATAATCTGCTAGGGGACATAGTTCTTTTATTTTCGCCTGTAATCCATTGTATATGCCAGACATATTTGCAGCGTTATCATACGACTGGCCTCTACAGTCTAATATATTAATTTCAAACATGTCTAATGTTTTAATTATAGCATCTGCCATGTCTTGTGATTTGTGGCCGACGTGTGCGATAAACTTCAGAAAACGTTCAACGGGCGTACCATCGGCTTTAACATACCGGATCACGAGAGTTAATTGGTCAATGTGGGAAATATCTGGTGTTGAATCCACTATCATTGAATAATATTTTGATATCTTGATTTCATCTTTTATTTGTGTTAAAATTTTGTTTGCCATCAACTCAATAAATTCGTCACATATTGTAGAACTCAAGTAATTGGTACATCCTTTTCCCTTGCCGCCATATTGAGCAATATGTTTACTTAAAAACGGATCAAACTCCGCTATGAGTTCCAGCGTCATTAAATAATTTCCGTTATGAAGAGACCCAAGTTTTTCTTCATGTCCCCTAAAAGATAATCCACGTGATGCTAAAGACTTTACAGTCGCAACCACTCGTTTCAAAACTTCACGCCAATAAGTTAGCTCTTCTTGAAATTGAGCGACGAGCTCATGATCGACACGACCGACAATGTCAGATCTACGTTGCAAAGCCAAAACACATGTTTTATGTTCACATGAGTTTTCGTGGCTTTCTAATCTAATCGACGCGTTCTTCCAATCATTGAAACCTACATCTTGCTTTCCAAAGCTAGTTCCACCACCGAATAATAAACAAGGTCCACAAAAAACTTTTCCTGTGCTTGGAGAGTAAATAAGCCATTTTCTTGGACGTTTTTCTCTATTTAACAATTTCCGTTCAAACATTGTTTTTGTCAAAAAACGTGAGACTTTATCTTCATATATTCTCTTACTCAATGAAAAATCTACGTTTATATTTTGATTGAAACCATTTAGTGCAATATATTCTTGTGTTTCGTTATTGATACTCCACTTGGCTGGGTCACAATCCACGATAATTATTGTATTTTGCGACTGCTGCACAACATCTACTGCTGACGAAGTAGACGGCGTGGGCACGAACAAATCTTGTGGCTGTATAGAACTAGTAGGAGTTTCGCATTGAACAGGGTCGGTAGCAGACACACTGTGAATAATAATTGCGTTAGACAATTCCGAATCATCACTTTTTGGTTTTGAAAAAAATGTCTCAATATTTTTCGTGTGCTTTATTACATTTTGAAATCTTTCTTCTTTTTCTTTAGCCTTCCTTTTATATGATGCACCACTAGGTTTTTTTTTCAATTCACTCATTCTTTGAGAAATACTCTAAAAGGTAATGGATACACACAAATACCACAGCGAGAACGTAAACAATAGAAGCGCGCGTAACTGACTGACGACAACAAAGCTTAGTTGCCGCCCCCGCGCTAGCCGCGCCTCTACCCAGCCCGACGCTCGAGAACGACGCGACGACGCAACAAACGCGCAATATTGCATAATACGAGTATATCGATGCTTGTGCAATATAATCTATTATAGATTTAGATTATAGATCACCATTTAGTTCTTAATCGTCGATATGTTATTTTCTTTGTTTATTTAAAAATTCTGAGCTCGCGCGCCCCTTGTAACTACACGCCCCTAGGCACGTGCCTAGTTTGCCTTACGGATAATCCGCCTCTGATTACGGAATGTCCTAATTAATAGTGGAAAATATATTCAAGATATTTCTCCATAATTTTATTAACCGAAGGTATATCCATGTAGTTTCATTGATTTCACTCATACAGGGTGTTGGGGTGTCATACAATAAAACAGCCAAATTATATATATTTTTTATTATACCAGAAATGGGTTACACAACGAAATAATATTTAAATATTACTGTTTTCTATTAGTCCATCATAATTTATTTATTAATTAAATAATCATTTCTGGAATTCAGTACATGCACTTCCTCTTCATGTAGGACAGAACCTCTACCTTCAATCAAATGGTGCAGCTATTCATAATGCGATAACAGTACGTCATTGGTTGTGAAAAATAAAGTGTATAAAACAAGGCCCCAGGTAATGCAAATGACACCTTTTGGTATTGTTCAGGACTAAAAACGCGCGCACTGACACCGCCGGTCGCTATAATGCTAGTTATGAGGTCGCAGACGGTCTCAGTCACGGCGTAGCATTTGCAGATGTCACTGAAAACCTCTCAGGGGATCACCATGAGCGGTTTCGTCCGTAGCGTCCTTAGACCAAATAAAAAGTGAAATGAATATCAAGGCGGTCCTAGAGATTCTAATAACTGGTCCGCCTCCACAGAGCCTAGCCCAAGAACAACAGGAGCAGGTAAAAGATTTCTATCTAAAGCTAAGGAACTGAAAAATAATTCTGTAACTAACAGCGACCAGGTACTCAGGCGACGGCATAACAACTTGAAAAACCTTCCTACTTTAAATATTAGCATGTGCCGTGAATGCCTTAAAACCGCTAGTATTTTATTACATTTATTTATACCTAAATCTTCTATAAATGACATTAATGGAAACAACTCTTAGTGGCAAAATAGAAACGACATTTTTTTTCTATTTTTTTCACAGGTGGCAAAATACCAAATAAATAGAAGAAACCTAAAAATATATGACATAAATAACTGTAGACAATATCAACTTTTTAATTTACCCCTTAAATGGGCTTAAATGACGCCTTGTATAAAATACCCATCTGTAGTCTTAAATTACATCAGTTATTTCATTATTTTCAGAAAAAGGTACCAATACAGCAGATGAATTGGTACCTAATAAACTGGATATTAGGATTGGTAAAATTGTAGAAGTATCCATCCATCCAAATGCAGATTCGTTATATGTAGAAAAAATCGATATTGGAGAAGAACGTCCAAGAACAGTAATAAGTGGGCTTGTAAAATTTGTTCCAATTGAAGAAATGTGGAATAAGATGGTTGTAGTATTATGTAATCTGAAAGCATCAAAAATAAAAGGGATTGACTCCCAGGCAATGGTTCTTTGTGCATCAACGTAAGTAGCCCTTAAAAATCTAAAATTTCTAAGGCGATTGTTTATTTGGACGCATTATGATGACCTATGTTAACCTGGCACCCGACTTTTAAAAATTCAATTTTTTTTTAAATTATAGATTTTCGTTTGTAGTAACAATATTTTCGTTTGTAGTAGCTCAAGAAAAAAGTTATATGGCCTATAAAAAACCCATCCCCCCAATTTAGCCGCACTTAAATCTGATGGTTGATTCCTATAGAAAATCGTTTGTAGTTGATTGTAGTGAACGAATTTTCGTTTGTAGTAGCAAAGACAAAAAGTTAGAGCTATTTTAAAAATTTGCCATGAGTAAATTTAGAAAGCGCTTCTAATTTCAAGTTTATTTGTGTATAATAACTTCTACACATCAAATTATGTTTTTAAAACTGTTTAAAGTTGTTTGTACTTGCACATATTTTGTTTGTAGTTCAGCGAAAACTAACTAAAAGTAGTTGTTTGTACTACAAACAACTTGTAGTTGTTTGTAGTAGCGTTTATTTTTATTTTTTGGTGTTATTAATTTCAGTATTATATCGTTTTTTACATTCTCTATAATAATCATGATCAGCTTGGTTTAATGACTGTTTAGTTAACCAAAACAGATTCCTAAGTTCGATACCCATTTGTCTGAGACTGTAGTCAACCCAACTTCTATTGTTGGCCTTACAAATATTTTTTATAACAACAGGACATATTAAATTAACATAATAAGATAGAATATTCACAATTTCTGCATATGCAAGATCGACACTAGCGCTGTTCGCAGCATTGAGACACATACACAGATTGAAAATTTTCATTTGATATACATTCTTGTAATCTAATTAATTTACTTGGAGATATATTTCTGTAACTAATATTTTTATAATACAACTCCTTCAAGCATGATTTACATACTGAAGTAGACTGACAGTCAATTTTAACATCAATACCAAGGTGATCACCTAATTGCAAATCCACAACATTTTCACAATAGTCCCACAACATATTAGTTAAGAAATAATCGACTTTAGTTTTAGTCGTTTTCAGGTTTTTTTTTTTCAGTAAAAATGCGCGTAGGTGCCAGACTTAGTAATAAAAGGTTAAAACTCTCTATTAAATCAATCAGTACTTCTTGTTCATGGGACATACCAAGAAAATCAATATTAAAATCGCCACATATCATGGTGACATCATAGTTTTTTGCACAGAAATTGAGGGCTGCAAAGAGCCGATCGATGAAAATCTCAATACTGCCAGATGGGGACCTGTATAAATTCATAAGACAAACAGTTTTATCTTCGACCCGAAAAGACAAGTTACAAAATTCGCAATGCGTTTCAATAGATAAATTACTTAAAAATTCAGAACTTTACAAAATTACAGTTTTTAGCACAACTTACATGAAAATAACTCTCACAGTTTTTACATTTAAGGCCATTTATAAGGTTCTTTTTACACCGTTTACAGCTCCTACTACTCAGAGCACATTCAGGTGAACCTACACCGGACGCCATACTTTGACTATTTCATTTGTAGTTTTTCGAAAACTGACGAAAAGTCACCAAACTCCAAGCTCTGGCTTTAAAACCGTTTGCAGTTGTTTGTAGTAGCGTCTACTTCGTTTGTAGTTTTTCTAAAACTGACAAAAGTCACCAGACTCCAAGCTCTAGCTTTAAAATCGTTTGTAGTTGTTTGCAGTAGCGTTTATTTCGTTTGTAGTTCTTCGAAAACTGACGAAAAGTTACTAAACTCCAAGTTCTGCGTTTAAAATCGTTTGTAGTAGCATTTATTAATAATATTAATAATAATAATATATTTATTCATCCCTTCAGATCTTACAAGAAAAAGATATAGGACAAGTCAATATAATAAACAGGAAAATATATAAAAGTATAGAGGGTGATTCAGATCTTTTCCAAAAAAAAATTCAGGATGTACAGGGGACCCTTACAAATACAATTTTGTAAAGAAAAAATCAAAAAGGGCAGTTCGAAAATGATTTAAAAATACACTTCTGCACGGTACTGGAAACTGGTCCACTGTAAAACCTGACCCCGCACAATGCGACCGGCATGGCGGTGTGACAAAAGCGGACAAAAACTTTCGCAAGGAAAGAAATATGTAAATAGAATTTTATCACACCTATTTTATATCGGCAAATTTAACTGCTTTTGCCTGTATTAATTAATAAAATTAATTTGTGTTTTTAAATAATAAAATCATTTAACGTACCCGATGTTACAACAATTGTTCAAAATTTTATCCACCAATGTGTAAACACATTTGGGTCCGTTGTACTCAGTTTCTACGAACTAACACAAATGTTGTCTTGTTTCACCATAACACAAATGCTTCACCATAAATTAAAACGATATCCATCAACTCCGAGTTGCTATACAAGCAAACCATTTTTGACACTAACTACCCATTGTTGACACTAACTACTAAAAACCTATTGTAAACACCACAGATTACTACTATCGTAACGACGATTGCAAAATCCGATTTCAGTATTCGGAGTCGCTGAGGCCACGTGGTGAATGACGCTAGAGACCACAGTTGTCCAGCTATGTAGCGGTTGAATGTACTATAACTTCATTTTTTTTTCTCGGAAACTATAAGGATTTTACAAAAAATTTTTTTACGATATTGATTCCATTGCTCATGCTGCATCTATTCCCAAATTTTTTTGGATAAGTTGTGAATCACCCTGTATATGATATATACACGTCAATGACATTAACAATTGATAAGACTCATACAGATACATGCACAATAATATTTAAAATTTCCTGTCTAAAAATTCTGCAACATTATAAAAACATTCATTTGAAATTGTCTAAGTTTTCGTTTAAAACCATTTGGATTATTCTCCAGTCTCACACACTCGGGCAGCCGATTCAAAAGTTTAATCCCCATATAGACTGGACTTCTTTTAAAAAGACTATCGGGCGTTTCACGTCAACGGGCACAGTGGGCTGCCCAGAATAAAAATGCATCAATATTGACGTTCGACGTGTCAAAAGGTTCGTATTTAAAAACTCTATCGAATGCCGTCTGGTGATTTAAAAAAAACATCATGGCGGTTTCAATATGGCGTCCGCAATCATGGAAAATTCTGTTTAATCAGCAATATTGATAGATAACAAACATAGAAATACTGTATTGTAGACTAAATCACCATATCTATACGTTTTTGGGGTTGCTGATTTCGAATTCAATATTAATTAAACCCCATCTGGTCACTGTTCGTCCCTAACCTTAATAATACTTCAAA